ACTTTTTTGTTTTAGTTTACATTTGCAGTAGATCACATTCCTCATGGGGATCTGGTACATGTACATAATGTCTTAATTCTTTTTTGCTTGCTTGTTTTTGAGACAAAGTCTTGCTCTGCTTGAGCTCACTATGTAGCCCAGGCTGCCTTCACACTCCCAGCAATCCTCCTGCCTCAGCCTCCCGAGTGTCGGGACATATGCCACTATGCCTGGCTACAGAATATTGTAATTCTTATTTTATCCCCTTCCCCTGTGGCTCTGCTCCCTTCATCTCTCGGTCCCCTCCCATTTGCAAAATATATATTTTTCTATTTTCTATTATCTGTCTTTTATTTTGCTCTTTGTTTATGCTTTGCATTTGTCATGTAAGAGGAACTGTGCTGTGTTTATGCTTGTGTGTCTGATTTATTTCACTTGACATTATGGTTTCAAGGTATATATCAATTTTCCTGCAAATGACTGAAGTTTACCTTTCTTTATGTCAAAGTAGTACTCCATTGTGTATAAAATTTACACTTTTTAATCCATTCATCCATTGCTAGACATGTAGGCTGCTTCCAAGATTTAGCTATTATGAATTATGCTGCTATAAATATAGTTATGCATGTATCACTGTAATATTATGTCTTTAACTCTTACAGGGAGATACCTAAAAGGGGAGTAGCTGAGCCAGATGGAATTTCTAGTTTTGTTTTTTTGAGGCATCTCCATAATGATTTCCATTGTGGTTACACTAGTTTACATTCCTGCCAACAATGTAGAAGGGTTTCTTCTTCCTTGCTACCTGTGAGTACTTTTTATTGTTTGATTTCTTGATGATGGCCATTCTCTCTGGAGTAGGACGGACTCTCAGTGTTGTTTTAATTTGCATTTTTGAATGACTAGCGATGTTGAGCATTTTTTCATATATTTATTGATCGTTGGTTCTTCTGAGAAGTTTCTATTCATTTCAGTTGTCCACTATTTGAATAGGTATTTTATTTACTTTAAGTTTTTTGTTCTTTATATATTCTAGATAATAGTCTTCCATCTAGGGAGCAGCTGGCAGTTTTATTTTTCCCATTCTGTAGGTTGTCTCTTTACTCTTCAACAGATAATTTAAAAAATTAAAAATCAGGACTATTTTTTAATATTCAACTGGCTTCATGTGGCCAGTTGAGAAAAGAGAAGTCTATTTTTATGTACTTGATCAAGAATCATTTATGAACACACACAAATAATTTTAGAAGGAAATTTTATAAGGGAAAATCCTAAAGCGAACCAACAGTGGGTGACATTCCTCAGTATCTTTTTCCCCTAGCATAGGCTTGGTAGATGAATAGTCTGAATTTTTAAAAAAGGTAGGAAAAGGAATGGAAAAAATTTTATCCCATTTCTGAAAGCTTTGGTGAAAAGACAGTTACGTAAACAGTGATCCTTTTCATATTAAAGATATGAACATCAGATGGTACTGGGGATTGAATATACGGCTCTTGCACTGCGCTACATCCCCAGCCCTTCTTCAAATTTATTAATTTTGAAAGAGTTTGTCCCTAAATTGTCTGGGCTATACTCAAACTTGTGATCCTCCTGCCTCAGCCTCCCAACGTGCTGGGATTACAGGTGTGTGCCACCACACCTCAGATTCTTTCTTTAGAGCTAAATTACAGTTTGCTTAGTTTAAGGTAATCTGAAGTTAAGTAAGGCTTATATCAAAGATTATTCTCAACTAGTCAACTTGATGTTCTGGTTTTCCATTCTAGCTGAAATTAGTATAATCTGTGTTTATTCTGTAGATATGCATTAGTACCGATTTTTGTTTCATACTTAAGAAAGAATACAGGAGGAAAAAAGGAAATAGGAAAAAGAGGTGAGAAAGGAAGAAAGAAGCGGGAAGGAGGTAGAAGAGTAGAAAGAAGAGGGGAGAAAAGAAAATTAGACAACTAAAGCAAAGAGGGGGGGAAGAACCAGAGGGAGGGAGGAAAGAAAAGAAAAGAGAAAAGGAGAGGAAGATCATCAGTGGTGACCCTGAATCTAGTACCAGTCTGGTCACGAGGGTGCTACAGAAGTGTTAGTCCTGGGATATCCTTTTCTGTTTTTGAGCACTGAGTAGCAACCTTCTTTAAACTTGCCAAGGAAGGGCTAAGAATAGCCAGCCACTCAAGGCTTCCAATTGCCTTGCTGGTTCTCTCCTATTCCAGGCCAGCTTCCCTGTCCTACTTATTGTCTGTCTGTTAAAGGGTTGTAGAGAGAAGGTATGGAGAAAGAGAACCAGCTGTCAGAGGTGAGTGATTGCCAACTGCTTTCTGCAGAGTGGAACTGGGCAGATGTCCCCTTGTCAGGGGAGCATTTGTTAGCCCCTGAAGCCCAGGGACGGGAAATAGGAGAGAATCACCCACAGAGACTGGGTGAATCTTCAAGAAAACAAGACCGTAGTCTCTTTTCTTTCCAGTCATCTGCTTTGCATGTGCTTGTGGATCCACCTCTGTGTTGTATCAACATAGAGGAAAAAGTGAACAAAAAACAAAAAACAAAAAAAAGAGAAAAAGTCTGAATAAATGGGATAAGAGATAGTTTAGATAGAAAATGTCCCCCAAATCTCTCATGTGTTCAGAGGTGGAGGCGGAGCTTCCTGCAGGAGACTGGTCATGATATTTTTTTAAAGGTGAGCAATCACGGATCCCAGCTGAATGCGTTATTAGGAGGTGGGTGGGTCACCGGGGGCGTGATCTGGAGGGAGGGGGCGTGTTCTTGTCTCCTGCTCCCCCCATCCCTCTGCTCCCTGGCCGCCCTCAGGGGAACAGTTTTCTTCTGCTATGCCCTTTCAGCACCGCCCTCTTTGCTTTCGAGGAAACTGTGGTCTGAACTGTGAGCCAAATAAACCTCTTCTCCTTTAAGGTGTGGGTGTGAGGCACATATTGTGTCCCAGCACTGGGAAAGCCGACTAATACAGTTGGTGAGGTAAAATGGACAGTGAGAGAGGGGACTTCTGGCACCATGGGCAGGAGCCACATAACAGCAGGCCACACGGCCATGGCAAAAATTTTAATGGCAATTTTAAAAATTATTTCAAGCATTTTCTTGGCCTTTGCATCCATGTAGAAGACTCTGGATTTACTAACCTTATTTTATTTCATGGATCACACATATCATATAATTCTGAATAATTTTGGTCTCGGTGCTAAGAAATTACTAAGATCTCTCACATTTGTTTTGTTATGATCTTTTGGTACTACTATATCTACATAGTTGTCAAAAATTCACTTGTGCTGTTCTGGCTTTTATCTCACCAAGCTCTTCATACACAAAGATTAAATCCTTGCCCATTATATGTACATATTCAAGTACACAATTATATGTGTATATATTGAAGTACATAATTATAATTGGCATCTGTGGCCTGAAGAGTATATCTGTTTGCTGGAAGATTAAAATAGTAAGTCCAAATGTAGTTATAAATAGTTCATACAAATCATGCCAAGAGAAAGCCACTAATTTACTAGCAGATAGAAAATGTGTAGAAGATAATAAAAACATGGCAGCTAAAAGTTCTGCTCTTTGATGTTTATGATTTAAAACCCAGAACAGGAAACCTTTTCTCCTTAGAATTAGCTTGAAACTCCAGGGATAGGAATCTTGGCCAGGAACTGCACACTTTGACCCTCATTAGAGTCCACATTAAAGAATGCACAGATTGCATTAAACGTGTGCTCAGCCGTCTTGTAGCAATGATCCTGGTTTCTTCTCTAATACGAATTACTGGCTTCTCAGCGCAATCCTTATACTTCTACCTACTGTACTTTACACTTATGCAGATGGTCACTCTGAATCCAACATGTTACCTTTTAGTTCATCCTGGAACACATAGTATTGTAGCTGTCTTATGGAAGAAACAGAAAAAATTTTCAGTATGAAAATACCTCCATACAGCTGATGATAAATGAAGGATTATGACTAGTATATCAATTATTGCAGTCATTATTATAGAAGTATATCTCCTTGGGTTCTTATGGGAAATTACTTTCTTTGGCACATTCTTGGGAATTATTTCCTGTGTTCCATTGGCTTTGTGGGATGACAATCTAGGATGATGGATGCAGTTCTATTGTTTTGTTAGAGTACGCTGTAAATGCTCTTAACACTCCTTGTTTGAGTGCATATTATATTCTCTTTGAATATTATCTGAGAATATGATTCATAGTTTAGTCTTAATGTTATTGAAAAAAATCACTTAATGAATAAGAAGGAAGCTTCTTCTGGTAGAAAGTCATAAAGAACAGAACAGGTAATTCTTGTTCTAGTCCTCATTCAACTGAAACATAGCCTATGGCAAATTAATTCAGGTATAGTATCCACTTCTTCATCAATAACTTATTTTTAAATTCTCCTTTAGTTTGAGATTCCTAATATCTTGCAATATGCAGTATTAACTAAATGTTCGTTAGGAAACTTAAAATCCTGTCGATGGGACAAAATTTAAATATAAAGATTAGGGAAAATGTGCAAGCAAGTGCTAACTCGTGGTGTATTAGTGAGGAATACTAAAAAGAGAAGTCCATTGACTCGATCAAGCAAATGGAGGTTGTTTCCGAAAGTGTTAGGTGCTCTCAAAACCAATTGGAAGCAAGTTAGGGGTCCAGGCTTGGGGGCGGGAGGACTCCAGGGAGCTCTGAAGAGCAGAGGAGCAGAGGTACTAGCACTGTGTGAGGCAGGGGCAGTCTCAGGAGGCTTTTGCTGTTGTGTTGTTGGCATTGTTTTGTGCATCGACCGTTCCTTTTCATTTCTTTCGCTCTTGCCTCACTTGCTCACTTTCACTGTGTTGAACAGGAGCTTTCAGTAAGCCAAGGTTCAGTCACATGTCCACCCTCTGACTATACTTCAGACAGGAGCCTTGCAAAGCAGCTACCTTCAATTACTCTCTAACTGGAACCATCCACAAACAGGAAACTATTCCTTATGAGGTTAGAGAGCAATTAAGATATAAAATTGCTAATGATGAATGTCTACCCTTGTATTCACAGACTACAGAAGAGAGTTCACTTTGGAGTTACTGAGAGACCTTATGAAAGAAGTTGGGTAACTAGAAATCGAGATGAGCTCAATGAAGGGGGATTAAAAATGCCATGCCAAAGAAAGGAAGAACCAAACCAAGAAAAATTTATCTAAGCCATGTGAGTTCAGTCTACAAGACTTTAAATATCATGCTAAGTCAGCCACATAGCATCTTTTAGTTCTCAGAGGGGCATTCTAGCTGCTCTTGTGAAAGAGTAGTAATTTGTGGCACAGTATATTCCCTAAAACTAGCAAAATTTTATCTTCTCATCATTTTGCTTTCACTTTTTTTCCAAAGGCATCTTTAAAATGCGCATGCATATTCCTCAGGACACTGAGGAATTTGTTTCTTCGGTTTCCTCACTCACTGAGAGGATAACCATCCCCTGCATTATAGAAACAACAAGCACACAGCACTATATGTTGAAGATACAGTTAGTCGTAAGAAATCATACACTTTTGTTATGGATATCATTTGTATGACATTTTTCTTCCCCATTTCGTTAAGATTTTTAGCAATTGATTTGAATAAGGTAGCATATCCAAAAACACTGTCTATAGTTTCTACTAATAAAAGTTTTTATAATAAAAGCATTAGTTTCCACTAATAAAAGCATTTATGATAAATGCTTTTCTTTCTATAGGGCTAGTGGGTATACATGACAACGGCAATTCCTTGATTAATAGGTTTCACAAGGTACTGATGACCGATAGAACTACAGAAGACTTCTGTGACTGATGCATTTGAGTTGAATGAGAAATCTCTTTTATTTATAATGCAGTTAGAATTGAGGCCTTCAGATGTTATTTTAACTTCACAGACAACACCCCAGTGTTTAATGATAGCAACACGAGGAAAAACAATGGCCCCTGCCTGTCTCCACATAATTTCAAATAAATGCATAAAATCTACCCCCAGTGTAACATTTTCATGAATATAAACTTGGGGATTCCCGTGTGCTGAGTGTGTATATTAGGGACCCAATAAGCATCAGTTGATTTAATTCAAAATGCATCTGGGGGCCTGGGATTTAGCTTAGTGGTTCCGCCGCCTTTCTTGCAAGCACAGGGACCTGAGTTCGATATCCAGAACCCTCCTCCCCCAAAATGCATCTGGAACCTGATAGAGAAGGGCTTCTTCATTCTAGTTGCCAATAAATCACATTCCTATTATTTGTTTGTAGTTGTTCTGTAAAGCAGGGATGTCACTTTTCTTCAAAAATAGTAGGAAGAACAAACAATCCTCTAGTTACCATGAGTAAACAGACAAAATATATTTACAAATCTGTCTGTTTTCAGATGTCCCTGATAGAGAAAATTTATGCAGGAAAAGATTTTGTATATCCTTATCAAAACTATCAAAACTGGCTATATATATATAAAACTATATAACTATAACTATATATATATATATAAAATTGCAAAAAGCATCTAAATCTGGAATATTTAAAAAACTAGTATCTTTTATGTATTGTCTT